CTGTTTTTTACACTCTTCCAAGCCTGAAAATCTTGTCCATGGAGATCTTAAACCTGAAAACATCCTTCTAGATTCCCAACTTAGCTGCAAGATTGGTCATTTCGGTATTCGCCGGTTAGTATCTGAGGAGTTCCGCTACTTCCAAAGTCTCCCAATGAGCACTGTGCCTAAGGGTGCTTTCTCCTACACAGATCCAGAGTTCCAAAGAACCAAAGTGCTAACTCCTCTATCTGATGTCTACTCATTTGGGCTCATCATTCTGCAGCTACTCACTGGAAAACCAGCGGTCGGACTAGCTAGTGAAGTGCGAAACGCATTATCGTCTGGACAATTAGAACTGGTTTTGGATTCATCTGCTGGAGAATGGCCAGAAACTGTTGCTACGAGATTGGTAGACTTTGCTCTGCAATGCTGTGAATTGAAGAGTCGAGACAGACCGAAAATAACACCCGTTATCGTTAGGGAACTGGAACAGTTATATGTCTCAGAAGAGAGACCAGTGCCACCTTATTTCTTATGCCCCATTCTGCAGGTAACTTTGTGTTCTTAATGTATCAGAAAGACTCTTCCACCAAGGCTCTTCTGATATATGAACTGTGTGGACTTGTTTCAGGAGATAATGCAGGATCCTCATGTTGCTGCTGATGGATTCACATACGAAGGCGAAGCGATTCACTCGTGGCTGAAAAATGGTCGTGAAACTTCACCAATGACCAATTTGAGATTGAATCATTTGCAGGTAACTCCAAACCACACTCTGCGGCTTGCAATTCATAACTGGCTTTGTAAATCATAACTTGCAAGTACAAACTTTCCATTTCATTGTATATATGAATCTCTCTCCTTTTGAGTTCCGAAAGGGAACAGTTCATCATGAAATATGCAAGTTTCTTACAATTGTCAAAATAATGAGAAACTTTTGGCTTTCTTATTAAACTCTGCAAGGCAGACAAAACCAAACACTACCAGAGATTGTTCAGAAAATTTACTCTCTGAGGTATCATGTTCATTTGTACATATAAATAAGACATAGGATCGTGATGGAACTCGAAACCTATCCCTATCTCGAAAGCAACGAGGCATTCGATTCAGGTTCATCAATGAAAGGATGATACTCATCAGGTGAAACTCCCTCTTTAAACTCCTTACCACTCAAAAGGGGGTTGGACTCGAGCACGCCATTATCCCATCTATTGGACCCTTCCTTGTTTGGAACCAAGTTTTCTTTGACACTTTCTCGAGTTTCAGGCTTCTCGATCCCATGGCTATCGACTACATAAGCCAAAGCTTCATGGTTTCCTTGTGGGTTTGCTGCCTTCTGATCTGGCAAAGCCTGATGTTCTTGGTTAAGATTATCAGAACTGTTGAAGTTTGAATTGCACTTTCCATATCTTGCAATGGATGAAGAACAATCTTCCAGAACTCCTTGAGACTTTGATCTGGAAGAGAAGCTTCCAAATCCAAGAATCCCTCTTGTCAACTTCCTAGCCTTGTCCCTCTCCTCTTTGAGAAAAGACCTTTTTTCAAGAAGGTTCAACATCCTCTCTGATTTGTTTCTAACTGAAATGCCCCAATTGAACCTGTAACCAAATTAGCATCAAATACATAATTTCCCCACAAACAGATAGCTTTCGACGAACAAACAAAACACGAAAACGTCTGAGTAATATACATTAGTGAGAAGTTGATAGGCAGTACCCCTTTTCATCAACATATTGGAAAGTTCCCATTTGGGAAATAACATGTTTGTCACTCTGAAACTCCTCTGCTACACTCTCTGGTCCATGAGTCAAGAGATGTTCAAGAATGATGAGGGAGTTGTAGCAAAGTCTCCAATTCTTCTTTTCAAATTTCAGCAATCTGCCTTGCAAGTTTGTTTGCTTAATCAATCATGAATCAGCACATTCAAAGCCAAAACTAAATTTTAAGAGGAATTTAAAAGTAAAAGCTCTGGAAACTATCTCCCTAAAGAGCTGACTGCTATTAAGGATTTTGCCCATGATGATCAGAGGATCTAATTCATAAAACTGTAAACAATGATCAAATAAGAACAAAGCTAAAACCTTTTATGGAGAATAGCTACAATTCTCCAATAGTCATCGACCTCAAAAGCTGCCTTGGAAATTGAACTCAAAGTTCTTGCATCTGGGTTTCCACTGATAGCTTCTTCAGTCAATCTAAAATGGAAAAAAAAAAAAAAAAAACATGATCAAGAGCAGCACATGAACATGAAGAACATCAGCACCAGGAAGAATTAAGTTACAGTTCAGCAGAGGTGACATCCGTGAGGGCTAATCTAGCAGTCTTGATCTTCTCCTTGAAAAAGAAAGAGGCTTGCTTCTTCCAATCATGGAAAGAGGGAGAGGCCATACCGTCGGATTTGCTCGAGATGGACATGGTATGATAAATCAAAAACCCTTTGGTGTTCTAAGAAAAAGATGCTCGATTTGGAGCAAACATTAGGTACAGACAGAAAGAAGCATTCAAAAGATGCCGACAAAACCCACCAAATGCTTGAAAATTAGAAGGGGGAGAGAGAGAGATGGTGATGTGAGCAAGAAAAAAGAATGGTGGAAAATGAAGACCAAATGGAGAGGTTGAAGAAAGGGTTGATCAGGGATTGGGTTTGAGAGTTGAATTTATGGAAATCTGGGAGTGTAAAAGTCAAAGTGGCTAACTCATTTTAGGACTGATGGACGCCGATCGTTGCGGGTTTGAAGCTTTAATAAATGGATTGTTGACACTCACTTCTCAGCTCCCTTCGCCGCCTATGGAGCTTCTGACCCATTTTTCTTGCTATCTATGAAACTACTCCTTTTTATTTCCATTTTATTTTTCTCTCACAAGTTTTGTATAAGTTTTTCAAATAATATTTTTTCTTTATTCTTTTGCAAATTGAAATGCTTAAGAACATGTTATAATTGTATTAATAATATGGTTTGAAGAAATGAATAAACATTATGTATCATTGATAGGGTAGTGGTTTGGAGTGTACATGGTTGGAGCTGACATAAGTTTAGGGATTTTGTTGAACCAACCCAAAAGTTAGGGTCGGTTGGATTGGTAATTCAATTCAACTCTTTATTTTTGGGTTTAGGGATTTTGTTGAACCAACCTAAAAGTTGGGGCTTGTTGGATTGGTAATTCAATTCAACCCTTTCTTTTTGGGTTGGGTTCAAGTCGGTGAAACAATGGAGCGCCAAGTGGAGAAGTCCAATGAGATACAGAGTGGAGAAGTCTAATGGAAGTGGAATAGAGAGTTGAGTGTAGAAACCGTTAGCAATGACGTCCAACGAGAAACACAGAGACAATTTAGCGGAGAAATAAGAACTGAGAAGAGAGTACAACGGAGAAATAAAGAGGCGAGCGACGTTGACGTCCGACGACACACAGAGACAAGACGAGAGGAGTCGAATGAAAAATAACGAAGTCAAACGCTGTAATATGAATTTGTGAGACTGCTATGTCGTTTTACTTACCCAGTTACCCTCGAGGTTGAAGATGAACGCTGCAACGTGCAGAAGCACAAGGGGTAGGGGCAGACACTAACGATGGCTCATGGGTTTGGGGTGTGTGGGCTTTTGCGGCATGAGCTTGAGGCTATTTTAATTTTTTTAAAAGGTTTTTGGGTTGAGCCAAGTTGACCCAATAATTTAAATTTCAAACTCGAACCCAAGCTAAACTGGTTAGGGTCCGAAAAACAAACCTAATCCAAACCCAAAATTCCTTTAAACCCAATCCAACTCTTATAATTCAGGTCGAGTTTGGATGAACACCCTTTAAAACCTTTAAACTTTAGCAATGTGGTAAAGTAATTTATTAATAAGTGGTTAATAATAATTTTATAACTAATCAAAATGCGTAAAGAGTGAATAGACGAAGGGCAGCAACAGTAAACTTACATGTCTACTTCACAATCAACTAAACACAATAAACCGTAGAGTTGTTAATCATACGGAATTTGGATGTAGGCTGCATCATAGGACAAAGGGAATATCGACCCTACTCGACCCTACTCCATATGATCGAATCGATTATCTTCGTCCATAGTATAAAAGATTTTAAAATTATCACAAACTTAGTTTAGGTAGAACGATTCGAACCCAGACACAAGGGGTAGAGAATGGGAGGATGGGAGAAGGCCTATGAAGTTGGGTTGATCGTGACCGTCGGTTTATAATGCCATCCTGTCATCCACTTTTGTTTAGGGTCACGTGTGGGGGCATAGATCTGGAGCTCCACTCAAGCAACTCCAAAGCCTGTGGGCCAACCTTCGTCTTCCACTTTCTAGCTGGCATTCCACCTAATTCCTAGCTCCTATAATTTAATAATATTCATAACATCACTCTTTTTCTTTTCCTACCACATTATCCTTTTTTTTTTTTCTTTTTTTAATACTATTAAATTATTCTAGTATCTAATAATAATTTTAAATTTCTACCCAACATTTAATTAAAATTTACTTTTAAAACTTCAAATTTGTAATTTAATTTTAATCAATAATAAAATGAAAACTTAATGATTATCTAGATTAAAATAAAATGTATTAAGAAACATTAATATAATCAATTTTATTTTTAGTTTTATGTTTAATTTCTATGTATTATATAATAACCATCTCAATTCTTTTTTTAAATCTTGTTTCTAATTAATTAATGTCTGTACATGAAATTAATGTTTTTTTTTTTTTTTTTTTTATAAATTAAAATGAAATTACCTTGAATGATCCTCGGAGTTCGGCTTGGGCAGAACTAGAGCCCAGGGAAATGGCTGCAACCAAACAAACGAAACCTGATCTGTTGGGGAAGATGACACATGAGGAAGCAACATCTCTGAGCCACAAATTGCTTCCCCTTCCTTCCTTCCTTCCATCCTTCCATCCACCATTTTTGCTGCTCATAAACACCTGCAAATCCAAAACTGAAACCACCGCAGATCTCCAAAACCAGTATGATTTCTTTTAATTTACACGACACAGAGATGGAAATCAACGGAACGAATTACAGGAAGAAAAATTGGCTGCTGCTTTTTGTAGCCCAATTCATTCAAATCACCGTGTAAAAAGAGACCCAAAAGAAAAAAAAAAAAAAAAGAAACCCGTAATATGAAAACAACTGTCACGGGGAAAAATCAATAAAATATTATACTACTGAATTAAATACAATGCTATACAACAACAACATAGAGTCAGGAAGAAATTCAGTATGCCGTTACCGGCGGCAACCGATCGGATTTCCTCACGATACCCTGGTGGAGATGAAAGATGCAACGGCGGTCCATTAGATTGTGGCGACATAGCTGCCACTGCATCCGGCGGTTGAGCGCTGACCATAGTTTCATTCGCAGGCTTGATCGTCATCATCGGATTGTTCCCAAATATCTCCTTAGGCAATAGCACTTCCGAAACCCCAAAAATGGCGACCGGCTTCTGATCGAACACCGTCTGAGTCACCGATGCTTGAACAATTCCGGTATTGATCCCAACCGAGCCGTTAACTCGCGAAATGTTGAGCGTGAAGCTACCGGCGCCCATATCCTCCGTCGCTAAAGTGGGCTGAACAGGGTTCACAATCGATTCCAAAGACCCGAGAGGGTAATAAGAATGAAGCACATGAAATTTCAAGACAACGGCCTTCTTATCCGCTGGCAGCGACTGGAGCTTCACTGTGGGCGGAAGGTCGGAAAACGCGGAGTCAGTAGGAACGAAAAGCGTAATCCCAGCGCCGCCTTCATCGGCCTCAAACTCATCAACAACACCAGAAGCCAAAAGCATGGAGGCAGCAACATTAAAATTATGGCCATCAATCAAAGCCCTAGTAATATTCAAGCCCAAAGGCGGGCGAGTCTCTGACGCCATGAGATCAAATCCATAAGGGACAAGAAGGGAATTAACAGCAAAGATACTAACATTATAAGGAAGATTCTTGAGAAGCGTCAAAACAGTAGCATTGGAAGAGGAGAAAGGAACAGGGGAGTGAACAGAAACAAGACCATCGAGCGGGTCACGAGTGATGTTGACGGAGCCGAAATCGCTAGTGGCACGGCCAGTGGTTTGAAAGAGAGTGGTGACGAGCTTGCCGGAAGGGGAGATCTGACGGAGGTCGGAAGGGGAGAGGTATTGGAGGAGGACATGGTAGCGGAGGACATCGGCAAGGGAGGATTGAGGGATACGGTGAGTGAGATCGGAGGAGGCGGCGAGGTAGGAATTGGGGACGGCGAGGAGAGTGAGGGAGGTGAGTTGGTTGAGATCTGAGAGGATGGAGGCGGAGAGAAGGGCGGCGAAATCGGAGAGGTCGGGGAAGGAGGAGAGGAGGGAGGAGATGTCTAGGGCAAGGATAGGGGAAGGGGAGGAGGAGGAGAGGAGGAGGAGGAGGAAAACGAGGGAAGGGATAGGGGTAAAATGGGAAATGCGAGTGCCCATCTCTCTGGTGTGAAGGAATGGGGGGAGAGAGAGAGATAGAGATAGAGAGAGAATGGGTGGCCGGAATCCTAATGGGCGGAGTTTATGGGTTAGGTAAAGTGGGCGGAAGGGGGAGTGAGAGGGTGTGGAGGAGGAGGATGGAGGATGATGCGGATGTGTGTTGTCGTATTCAATATTCCTCTTATACCCCGCTTCTGCTCTCCGCCAACTGTTACCCTGCATTCTAACAACACTCTCACACTCTTATTGGATTTTGAGCCTATGAAATTTTTATAAAAAGATATTAATAGAACTTTAAAAATTTTAAATTGCAATATTTTTTTAAACTAAATAATAAATTGTTTTAATAAAAAAAATACAAAATTCTAATTTATTTTTATTAATTTAGGCTAAAAAAAACCAAATTGTCACTCTTGTTCCTCCCTTGTACCCAGCCGCGCGCCAACCCCTTAGCGGCCGTACTCGTCGAGAAGCTACCCACTAGTCATCTTAGTTGACGGCGTCCTACTGCGCGCGACACACTCACGAATCGCCCTGCCGCGACCACGAGCGCCGGGGAATGACGACTCTGCGCGTTTCCTCTTCCAGCGACTGATACTCCAAACGGAGACGCGAATCACCTGCGGTGCATCTGTCGGCGGCAGCGCTCCATTCTGAAATACCGGCACACTTCGCTTCTCTATCTCCGGTGATTCTCGACGTTAGCACCCACGGCGAATAGCTGCGTGATCTCCTCCTAGCGACAAAATTTTGAGCTAGGAGATAGTGACCCATAACCCGAACGACCCCCTGGATAGAACACCCAGAGCCTTTAGGGTTCAAATCTACAAAATTGAATCATTCGAACTCAATCCTGCAAAGACTCAAGCTTTACGGTAAGGATTAGTTGGAAATGGCTCGCTCTAAGCTCTTTTTGGATTCCTTCAATGTTTAGGTTTGGACTGTTCGAATTAAGTTTAAAGTCGACTTTGTCTAAGAACCCTTTGTAATCTCTCACGAACGTCCTTCAATTTCGATTGTGGTTTCTGAACTGAGTTGTAACCTTGGAACTTTGTCTTTCTTGATTCAAGAATTGATAGAATAGCTTAGAAGCGATTTAAAATGTGTTGTAAGTAGTTTCTACTTGTGGAGTTTGTATACCTTGTATGCTATGTAAGCTGGATGCTTTGTTTTACTTGTTTGATATGTGTGTTTTAATTTAATGTTATATTGAACCCGATTGTATGTTTTGATGTGTTAAGCACATTAAGTTATTGTTTTGTGTTGATTAAGCATGTACTGATGTTGGTCCCTGCGTTAAAAGCATGTTCATGTAGTTATTAGGCTGGAAGCATGGTCTAGCAAGCATGTATAAGATGTGCATATCTGGGTTGTTTAGAGCCTGATTGTTAAGTTGTGTATATTTGAGTTTGCAATCCAGGAAAGCAAGGAGAATATAAGGATCTCGGGTGTAGATGGTCAAGGGTTGATATTATTTTAAGGAAATTAAAGTGAATATCAATGCCTTGAGTATAAATGGAGGTTTGGTATGTCGCTTTTTGGTGTCAAGGCTTTGGGTATAAATGATTGAGGGTCGACATGCCAATATTGGATGAGAGGAGCACCACGACCTTCAGTATAAATGGTCAAGGGTCAGTGATGAGTCTTATGGTAAGTATTGGGGCCTTGGGAATAAATGGTCAAGGGTTGATGCACAGTTCAAGGCTTAGGGTATTAATGGTCCAGGGTCGAACGTCAAGTTCTATAGAGAAGTGTTGAGACCATGTGTATAAATAGTGAGCTATAAATGGTCAAGGATTGGTGTGATGAGTCGTGTGGAGTCTGGACATAAATGGTCAATGATCAATGATCAATGCACAGTTCGAGGCTTTGGGTATTAATGATCAAGAATCAAATGTCGAGTTTCATAAAAGTGTTGAGGCCCCAAGTATAAACAGTCGAGGATTGATGCATCTCAAAGATGTGGGAAAGATTAATAAGAGCTTGGGAAGGGCTTGAGAGAGCTATAAACAGTTTTGAGGATTCAATATTGTCTTGAGATAGAAGTTGAGCATGTATAATATGAGCATCATGCATGATATAATTTTGATAAGTGAGCATCACGCATATTACTTGGTTTCTCGTGGTGAGAAGTATGATCTTATGATATATGTTGTATGTCGTTTGGATGACTGACAAGAGCGTTTCTGTCCGGTACGTGACTTTGGATGGCTGGCCCACTTGGGGAAACTTATATGGTTTTACCAAATTCCTATTCTATGTTTTCGTCGTTATATTACTTGGGAACTCGGGGATCATTTCTTGTTAATGCTGCTGGATTGCGGGAGTCATTGTCCATTTTTCTGGTTGCAAAATAGTCATAACTAGCCATCTGTGTAAACTTTTGTTTTCCTGCTAATGTACAAAGACTAGTAGGTTTTATATCTTAAGTTATTTATTTATATATTATTACTTTTTACTGAAGCTTGCCATGGAATCTTTTCAATTGGAGTTGACCTCGCTCCCCTTATCAAAATCATAATTGTTCTTGCTTCAATTGATTGATATTTAAATTTTGTAGATCTCTTTATTCTAGTTCAAACTTTATAACTTTCCAAAGCATGGATGATGTTTAAGGCGCGAGAAAAGGGAGAACGATGAGGTTTTTGTGCTTGAGAACGATGAGGTTTTTGTGTGTAAAACAAGTTCTATATTTGAGAGGCTTGAGAGAATCCTCAAGTTTTCCATGGCTTTTTTCTGCCATTTCCTATTACTCAGATACTCCCTCAAAGACTAAACTTGCCCCTTTACAGGTTTTTCTTTACTTCTCTTCCATTTTTTCATTACTTTTTTCAATGCAAATTTTTCTACTCATGTTTGGATTTATTGGGTTCCACAGGAAAGGAGAATGATAGACAGGTTTATGGTGTATGCCAAAGGAGGTGATGGTGGAAATGGATGCCATAGCACTCGCCGTAGTAGGCAGGATCGCCACGGCCAACCTGATGGTAGGCTTTATGTAATTATTTAATCTCTTAGTTTACACTTGTCGTCTAATCATTACTATGATTCGAGTTTCAATGGTCTAATTTGTTGATAAATGAAAAGTTGATGTTTTTTTAGAGGAAAAGATTAAACAGTCAGATATTATGCAGTCTTGGATTCAGCAGCTTTAAGCATCACATTTTATGCTGCTCTTTCTTTATGTTTCTGCTAATATCGTATTAGAATGATAGTCAAGGAAGATCGAATGGTCCCCTTGGCGTGTATAATTAGGAACTGTTCCCCTTGTCATGAGATCGCTGCTTGACTCTACCACGACGCTTCCTTTCTAATTGATGCAGGTGGAAATGGTGGAAGGGGGGGCAATGTCATTCTTGAATGTTCCGCTGCTCTCTGGGACTTCAGCAGTTTGAAGCATCATATCGTATGCTCGACTCTTATACTCATGCTAGAAACAACTCGGAAATGAATGATAAACTACCTTTAGAGTTATTGAATTACAATATCAATCAATATTCCTATCATCTCTTGCAGAATGCAGGTAGAGGAGGACATGGATCTTCAAAAAATATGATTGGAACCAGGGGTGCAGATAAGGTCATCTATCCCTTCCCCATCCGTATGTGCGCGACTTTGCTGCCTTTTGTTGTCTCTTAATTTTCCACTTAATCTATACATTTAAGTAAGTTTAAATTGCTCTAATTATGAATTAGGTAATCATATGACAGCTTTATTGAACAATTGTTATCAGATCTGACACAGTGTAGTAGAGAAAGGGTAGAAAGAAGTGAAATGTTGGACAAATTAGAGTGGCATAGTTTATAAAAAGAATTGATGTTGTGATACCACATTGGTTGATGAGGAGAACGAAACACCTTTTATAAGGGTGTGGAAACCTTTTCCTAGCAGATGTGTTTTAAAGCCTTTAGGGGAAGCTCGAAAGGGAAAACCCAAAGAGGACAATCTGCTAGCGGTGGGCTTGGGCCGTTACAAATGTATTGCTTTAAAATCAGGGTAGGTTTACACATGCTACTGAATTTTGTCCTATTGTCTATGTTTTTCTCATCTATCTATTATATTTGATGATACCCCACCAAGTTACTATATTTGATGATAGATTGTTCAAGTACCTATTGGCACTGTCATTCATCTTGTGGAGGGTGAAGTTTCTAGTGTAGTCGAACATCATTCGTCAACAGATTTAGACCCCTGGCAGATTCCGGGCGCACTAGTTGATGATCTCTCTGGTAGTTCCTCCCAGAAGTCTCTTGAATATTCAAATAGAGGAGAGGAAGTTGAATCGACCTTCACCAATACTCTCTCATCGTGTAATAATGGTAACTATAATGCTAAAAGTTCGTCATTCAGGAGGGAAACCTTGGAAGTTGCATCAACCAATGGGATTTCCCAAGTTCTTGCATCTCCCGACAAACTCGAAAGTTCAATCGATGATGATACTACAGAAAGTAAAGAAATGAGATACAATGTTGCAGAATTGACTGAAGTAGGACAACAAATAATCATTGCTCGTGGAGGGGAAGGTGGTTTGGGTAATGTTCATGCTCTCAAAGTTTCAAAGAAGCCTAAAGCCTCAATGGCTGTGGGGCAAAAGGACGAGTTCATAAACTCTGATGTATCTGAAATCAACGAGTCCAGAGAGCGAGTTGGTTCACCCGGGACTGAGACCGTGATTGTTTTAGAACTTAAAAGCATTGCCGATGTTGGCTTCGTTGGGATGCCAAATGCTGGAAAAAGTACTCTTCTAGGAGCGATTTCTCGAGCAAAGCCAATAGTTGGTCATTATGCATTTACTACTCTGAGACCAAATTTGGGGAACTTAAATTACGACGACTTATCAATCACAGTAGCTGACATTCCCGGACTTATAAAAGGTGCCCACGAAAACCGTGGACTTGGACATTCATTCTTGCGTCACATCGAACGCACGAGGGTTCTGGCATACGTTCTAGACTTGGCTGCTGGTTTAGATGGTAGAAAAGGGATACCCCCATGGGAGCAGCTGAGAGATTTAGTAGCAGAGCTTGAACACCATCAAAAGGGGTTATCAGATCGTCCATCCTTAGTAGTGGCTAACAAGATCGACGAAGAAGGGACCGAGCAAGTGTACGAGGAATTAAAGTCAAGAGTGCAAGGAGTTCCAATCTTTCCCGTGTGTGCCGTTTTGGAAGAGGGTGTTGCAGAGCTTAAAGCTGGGCTTAAGAGCCTTGTAAATGGTGAAACATCTTACAGGCTTAACATAGATGAAATTATTATTGATTAGATATGTTTGAACTCTGCCATTTCATTTCATTTTTGCTACAGCTGATACAACTTTAGAGACTATTTATGCGGCCTAGTTGAGTAGGAGGTCGTAAAAGTATAACTTTTCGTGTTCTTTGTGGGTGACGATCTTCATTTGAACCTTCATCTTAGATTCCAATGTTGAAATCTATGTGGTAGAGGCGTATTATTTCATGCTATCTTCCTAGGATGTATCATCATTCATTCAACTTGAATGTGTATTAAGAACAAAAGGGGTGGATTATTTATTTGATCATCCAAATGAAAACAAATTGGTTGGTGATGAAATCTAGATATAGGAACCCAATTGATTAATTTAGATCTTCAAAATGTGTATAAGTAGTAGAGAGGGAGCCCTGAATCATCATTCCCAACACACAAACAAATCCAAAAATCTTGGCTTTTTGAGAAACAAAATGGGTTCTGGGTGCAAATGTGGTGACAGTTGTTCCTGTGGAGATAGCTGCAACTGCCAATCTGGGTATCTATATATCTTCTTTCTCTCCACCTTCTACTTACAAGTCACTTTATTTATTAACCCATTTGTCCAATCTTTGCAGGTCCATCACAGAGGCCTTCATCCTCAACAAGTAATAATGATTTTGATTGATTTATATTTTGTTTAAATTCTAATACGAGAATCATCCGGTGTCAAATTTGGTTTCTGAATCGATTAAAAAGATTTCAAACGGGAAGAACGAAAAGTTTACAGACATCTTTTATCTCTATGTTTGTTATGTTTGTAATGCTGTATGCAAATAAACTATGCAGGGATGGGTGCAGCTGTGGGAGTAGCTGTTCATGTGACCCATGCAACTGCAAGTGAGCAATGGGAGGGATGGATAAGCCCCAAACAACAAAGCTTCTTGTTCTTAATACAATAAATTGACGAATTTACCCACAAAGTTTGTTCCTCTTTTTTTTTTCTTTCTTTTGGAATAATGTAATTAAGTGAGCCATGGAAATTGCAATTCCATATGGATTTGGGTTTGCTATGGCTTCAACAAATGTGTACTACTTATGTGTTGTGGGTTTAGGGTTTCATATTCATCAAACCTTCCATGTGTTTCAAATTCAGTTTAATATCGTCTCTGTGTTTCCTATGAATTCTTGTCTAATTTCACGGCTGACTATTGTCTACCTTAGCTCATTACATATTGATGTCAGTCTCATGATTTTAAACCATATGTTAGATGGAAAGAATATTTCGTTGCGCTCTCCAACGGGATAGAATTAAGATTACGAGCAAATTTGAATTTTAAAAACAGTGAATCAAGGGTTTGATTAATAAAAATCTAATTATTTTTCAAAATATTAATTTTCTAAAATGATAAAGATTAGGAAGAGATTAAGGATTCGGAAAAGGAATTAGAAAAGCCCCTTATAAATAACATTCAATCATTTATTCATTCATTATGAGCGAATTTTTCTTCCAAATAATCATGCCGTTGCCGCCATCTTTTGCCGCTTCACCGCCGCCAATTAGCGCCATCGTGAAGACTTACGGACTGAGATGGACGAATAACAATTTGGCTCTGATAGCCATTTGTTTCCTGATTATACTCTACCTCATCCTCTTAAATTTCTTCAAATCCGAATTAGAATCCGGCAGTGAGCCAGCCGGAGCATTGCCGGTGGTGCGAGAGCCGGAGATTGTACGGATTGAGGCCTCGGTTTTCAGTTACAGGGAAGCCGATGGAGGTCACGACGATGAATGTGCGATTTGCCTTGACGAATTTGAAGATGGGCAAAAGTGCCGGAAGATGAATAAGTGTGGCCATATATTCCACCGCCGCTGCATTGACCGGTGGCTCAAGGTGGACCGCCACTGCCCCCTTTGCCGCAGCTGTGTTTGCGTAGTCGTTCATCCATGATAAGATGATCGGAGTTTCTTCGTCGGAGATTATTTTGTTATCTTTGGGTTAGTTCAAATGTAAACAAATTAGTGCACAAGCTAAGTTTTGTTTTTTTTTTTTTTTTTTTTGGAAAATTAAATAATATATTTTATTTTTTTAAAATCTCATAAATCTACTAATATTTACTCAAAACCTCATTCCAATTTTAAATATATTCTTTATATAGAGTTAATTACGAAACAAAGTTGCACTAACAAGAGTTTGTAACTCGCTCAGAATTAAGATCGAGCTTATTATAATTATTATATGAAATATCAATTTTTTTAACTAATAGATTTCTAAAAAAGATTAAATGTTTTTGTAGTCTAATCTCAACTAATTTATGGTATGAAATACGTCACTTACATGTTTCTAGGTTAACTGTTTGGATCAAATTATTTGTAATTATAAAGAGTGAATAATATTAATAGACTTTATCCAATTTAAACTTTTTAGATTATTTTTTAACATGATACTTTGGTATGTAACCTTATCTTGTTTAAGATTAAAAATATTTTCATATAATGGATAACGTTATAATTAACAATGTAACAGTCCAAACCCACTGCTAGCCCGATATTATCTTATTTGGACTTTCCTACCTTTCCCCGTGCTTCTCTACCAGATTTTAAAATGTTTCTGTTAGGAAAAGGTTTTCACACTCTTAGAAATAATTTTTAATTCCCCCTCCAACCGAGGTAGAATCTCACAATCCACTCCCCCCTTTGGGGTCAGCGTTCTGACACTCGTTCCCTTCTCCAATCGATGTGGGACCCCAATCCTTCCTCTTCGAGGCCTAGCGTCCTTTCAGGGCTCAACCTCCTTGCTGGGTTTTTATCCCATTTGTAATAGTTTAAGTCCACTACTAATAGATATTATTGTCTCTAAATTTGTATCTCATTTTAAAACATGTTTGCCACTTTAAAAATTATTCCCGCTATGAGGCAGCCGGAGCATTGCCGGCAGTGCGAGAGCCGCTGATTGTACGGATTGAGGCCTCGGTTTTCTGTTACAGGGAAGCCGACGGAGGTCACGACGACGACTGTGCGATTTGCCTGGACGGATTTGAAGATGGGCAAAAGTGTCGAATGATGAATAAGTGCGGCCATATATTCCACTGCCGCTGCAGTGACCGGTGGCTCAAGGTGGAGTGCCATTGTCCCCTTTGCCGCAGCTGCGTTTGTGCCGTCGTTCATCCATCATCTTTTTGGAGAAGATGATCGGAGTTTCTTCTTCGGAGATTATTTTGTAATTTTAGAATTGAGTGTAATTGCAAATTTTGTAATTTTAGAATGAAATCTTCCAAGACTAAATTCAATTTTTTTTTTTTTTCCAAATCAAATCAAACATTTAGTCCAATAATATATTTTAACATCTAATATATCAAACTATATATTATTTTATTTCAATATGATAAAATATTTAGTTCACAGATTTGAATTTCATTTAAATTTTAAATATATATTTATTTTAAACCATTCAAATTAATTATTTATTTCTTTTTTATATTTAATATATCAATTAAAATATCAAATATAATATATATGATAAACTATAATTTAGTATTAAATATTCGAAATAAAAAAGTTCAAATATTTATAATCTTTACCATAATTTTAAAAGTAATCTATCCATATGACTAATTACTAATTAAGTCGCATTAAAAAAAAAAAAAAACCAAAATTTTCGTCAAAAAATTCAACTGAATTAGATAGTCAAAAAGTGACAAAAAGCATTCAGAATTAAATATAAAACAAATAGCATTAATTACTACATCTAAAATTCCTATGAACTCCAAAAGCCCCAACTCCAACGGTCATAAATTACACTTTTTGGTTTCAAATTAATAATACACCGCCAGCTACCACCGCAATACATGCCCGCGCCACCGCCCCCAACAACCTGATCCTACGCCTCATCGCCGCCGCAGAGGCCACCGATTTCTCCGTTAACTTTTCGGCACCCAACGGGTAACTGCAGGCCTTGTAACCTGTACAATCCCAAAATAATATTTACATAAGGGGTCTCTAAGCTATACACTATCATCCAATAGATTCAAAATAATATCTTAGGTACTACCACAAATCTATTAATATAATTTAACCTAAGATCTATTAATTTTATTGTAAAAATTAAAATGATAAATGATGAAATTAAAAACTATATGATTAAATAAAATAAAGTATCTTACTGGGGTCGGTGGAAGTGAGGACGCCAGTGTGATTGAAATCGCAGTTGAAATCATGGCGACCAGAGGACTGAAAGTAAGCGTCCATGGCGTAGGATGCATGTGATCGCACTGTATTCGGGTCGTAGCAGGCCCCACCTGCTTGTATGGGCCCACAGTCCACTCCACTGCTACACACGTAGTCAATATTCTTCTGCAACGCTTCATCTGACGCGTCCGTTTTCGGCACGCACCACTTCCTCCCACCATCCGACGGTTGCGGCGCCTGCCCCGTCGGTGCTGTGGGGCCCGTTGTCTGTTACATCAAAATCAATGGTCACAATCTAATATCATCTGGAATAAATGTGGTGCGGGAATTCACTAAAAAAAGGCCAAAGAAAAATTAAAAAAGCGTATTTACTTTAATGCCATGGAATTGGGAAGAAAAATGGAGGGTATTTCCGTCAGAAAAAAAATTAGGACAGGTGGCTTTTTGCCTCCTTAGACAGCAGGACCGCACTATGGACTTGCTGTCAGAAACTCGTACACCCACGCGTCAGATTTTTATTGGTTAGTAAACCGACAAATTAACAGGTGATACTTAGAGCCAATTAGGGAGCAACACGTGTTATCGAACTCATGGGAAGAGGGGCTTCCGTGTAATACTCTTCTTCCACTGGTCCGCAGACCAGTAATTTGGCGTGCCTGGATATCAAGTTAATTTACTAACATGCGCCCACCGGGTTTGGCATAATTCCGGCAGAGGCTAAGGGATTTAATAAGATGAAAAAGGGGTTTACCGGTGAGTTTCGGAGGATGCCGACGTCGTAGACCGGAGTTAGATCGGGCTTGAACAGACCGTAGTTCCGCTCCGAGACCGACGGTTTGAGATTCTCGTTGAAAAGAGAAAAGACGTAGGTTTCAAAAGTTCTGTTGGGCATCATTGGCGTCCCCTTACCGGAGTTCACGTGCTTCACGAGGTTCCGGTTGTAAGAAATGGCGTTCTCCAAGCTCACGCCGGGTTGGTTCGGGTCACCGGCGGACGGCCACCCAGTCTCTGCCACGACGATGTCCACATCCCCGTAGCCGAGCTTGTTCATTGCTGCGTGAACCGCGTCCATCTGCGCATCGAACATATTCGTGTAGTGTTTTCCGGTGGTGTTGTCGAAAAATCCGGCGTTCGGCTTGAACAGCGCGTACTCCAACGTCGCCGGTCTGAATCCAAAGAATGGATACGGATTTACCATGAACGGCGTTTTTGTCTTGCGGTGAAACTCGAGGATCGGAGCGAATATGGCTCGATCGTACCCCTTCCGAAACCGCCCGGTACTCGGCGGCTCCGATGCCGACAAAATCCCCAAAGAATGAGGAGACGAAACCTTGATATCAGTGATATTCGCGAGGGTTAAAGCGGAATGTAAAGCCTTCATCGCGGGGAGCATATGAGCTATGAGATTCTTGTCGGAGGTGGCGAGGATCTCGTTCCCGACGGCGATGTGGTTGATGAGAGTGTTAGGGTGAAACGGGAGAATGTTATTGGCAATCCAGGATTGAGCGGCGGGTAGCTTGGCGAGGGCCGGAATGTCGCCATTAGCGACAGAGACTGTGAGGGCGATGCCAGTACCGGCGAAGGCACGGAGAATATCGGGGTTGGCGTCAAAGATCTTGACGCGGTCGATGGTGGTGTGGGATTTGAGGAAGGCGGCGACCTGGGAGGGCGGAGGGAGATTGTCGGCGACGGTGCCGTAGTTGACACCGATAGAGAAGGTGGCGGAGGAGAGGCGTAGGAAGAGAGAGACAAGAAGGAGAGAGAGAAGTAGAGAATTAGCCATTGGCGAAGGGAGGGAGACAAGTGGAGCAGTTTAATTACAGAGTGGAGGTTTTTGAATCGTTTTGTGCAAAAGAGAGAAAGGAGGGGGAGAGTGAGGTAATGCACCTCGGGAATCTGTTGGGCCCACTACTGGCCCATGCCTAACTCCAAAATATTAAAATAATTGGATCACTCC